AGCAACCTCCAACTCCTGGGCTCAAGCGAGTCTCCTGCCTCCACCTCCCAAGTAGCTGGGACCACAGGCGCCCGCCACAACGCCCGGCTATTTTTTCTTTTTTTTGGTTGCAGCCGTCATTGTTTTGGCGGGTCCGGGCTGGGGATTCGAACACGCCACCTTAGGTGTACATGGCTGGCGCCTTAGCCGGTTGAGCTATAGGCGCCCAGCCAGAAAATACCAACTTTTAAGCACTATTCCTAAGGGAGATATATCAAAGCTTACCATGTATCTTTTCTGTGATGGGTTTGCATTTCTGCACCGAAGATATCAATGAATAATACATGTAAGGTCTACTGTTTGAGATCATTTGTTTCAGGGATTTTGATGACTCATCTTCACGCACCCTACTTGAGTAAGCAATATTTCTATTTATTTAAGAAAATAACGTAGGACTCAGCACCTGTAGCTCAGCAGCTAGAGCACCAGTCACATACACCGGAGCTGGCAGGTTCGAACCCAGCCTGGGCCTGCCAAACAACAACTACAACCAAAAATAGCTGGGCGTTGTGGCAGGTGCCTGTAGTCCCAGCTACTCAGGAGGCTGAGGCAAAAGAATCACTTAAGCCCAAGAGTTTGAGGTTGCTATGGGAGACATAGTGAGACTGTTTCAAAAAAATAAAGGAAAAGAACCTGGGAGTTTATCCCACCTAGGATATTTTCTGTTTCATACTGCTCTCTTAAAAGTGTCATTCTCTACAGTGAACATATTTTAAATTTATAACTGATTGCTGTTTTGCCACCTCCATACCTTTTTCTCAAAAATATATGGTAAAGAATATGGAACATGATTCCTCCAATTTCTAACATGGTTTTCTAAGCTCACTAAATTCTTAAGTTTTTCCTCAGCATAAATACTATAGGCAATGACATTTAAATTCTTTCTCAAAGCTTTCCCACATCAGTACACTCAGTTGTAGCCCTTCTGATTTCTTTGATACCTAGTTCCTTACTACTGGGTGGGTAAAGAATTCTAGGTCACTAATTAAAAAAAAAATTCTAGGTGAAAAATCGATCACAGTTTTGCACACCTCTGAAGTTATACTTGTGTGCCTTTTATTAAGTAAAACAAATGTTTATTAAGTAAATGAACATTAAACAATATATAAAAAATTAGACATTCCTGATATTTGAAGGTTACTTCTCAGGATGAATTATTTCATGTATAGCATAATGTGGTATAACTACTAGTAAAATTATTCCAGTCTCAAGTATACTCATAGGTTTTATCTTTTGTATGAATTCTCTGATGTTTAATGAGAGTTGACTTCCCACTAAAGGCTTTCCCAGTCTCTGCATTCATAGGGTTTCTCTCCTGTATGAATTCTGTGATGTACAATGTGAGTTGATTTCACACTGAAGGCTTTTCCACATTGACTGCATTTGTAGGGTTTTTCTCCTGTATGAACTCTATGATGTTTAATAAGAGTTGACTTTCTGGCTCGGCGCCTGTGCCTCAAGCAGCTAAGGCGCCAGCCACATACACCTAAGGTGGCGGGTTCGAATAGTCCCAGCTACTTGGGAGGCTGAGGCAGGAGACTCGCTTGAGCCCAGGAGTTGGAGGTTGCTGTGAGCTGTGATGCCATGGCACTCTACAAGGGGGATAGCTTGAGGCTCCGTCTCAAAAAAAAAAAAGAGTTGACTTCCTACTAAAAGCTTTCCCACAGTCACTGCATTCATAGGGTCTCTCACCTGTATGAATTCTCTTCTGTTTAATCAGTGATGACTTTTCACTGAAGGCTTCCCCACATTCATTGAGTTTATAGGGTCTCTCTCCTGTATGAGTTCTCTGATGTACAGTAAGGGTTGATTTCTCACTAAAGGCTTTCCCACATCTTATACATTCATAGGGTTTCTCTCCTGTATGAGTTCTATGATGGACAGAGAGGTTTGATTTTCCACTGAAAGTCTTCCCACATATGCTGCATACATAAGGTTTCTCTCCTGAGTGAATTCTCTGATGCACAGAGAGGCGTGACTTTTCCCTAAAGCTTTTTCCACATTTACTGCACTCATAACCCTTCTCTCTTGTATGCATTTTCTGATGTTTGATTAGAATGGTAGACTTCTTATCACAGACTTTTTCATGTTCACTGTGCTCAGGTTTATCATCCATATGAGTCTTTTGATATATAAGGCTAGACTTAGCACATTTAATACTTTTTTTTTTTTT